AGAATACACTATATGGTTTAATCACATTTATGCAATTTTCCAACTCACTTATTCTCCAGCATTAACTAATAATTTTTCTCATGGAAACTTACTTCTAAATTTGAGAAACTCCACTTCCCATCATAAAGAGAGTCCAGTTGATCCCACTGACATAAAAATTTTAGCATATGTAAGCCACGGTTAAAAAGAAAAGAAATAGGCTGAAATAAAGACGAATCAAAGTTACTATAGTACCTCGGTTCCAACAGGGTATATAGCTCTCCATAAATCTTCCTACAGGGAAACCGTCAACAAATGCCATCAGCAAACATCAATACAATTTCAAACTTTAGCTAATGGAAACAAGGATAGTAACGTCACAGAAGCCAGTATGCAATACTCAAATTTTTAAACCTTCCATTGTCCAGAAACAGTAATCAAAGCATTAGTATGAGGTCAATGCACCAATTAGCCTCAAAGTTAAACAAGCTTTTCAAGACCTTTTAAGAAACGGAACTAACAGAAGACGGAAGATTGGGTACTCTAGTTCCTTCTTATCCCCGAATTTTGATAGCACCCAATAAGTAAAATTTAAAAGATGAATAATGTCGCGTGTATCTTCATCCACCGAATTAGAAGAAATATTACATTTACGACCGAAGAAATTCGACACTTAAATGAAACAATAACGCGTACCAGAGCCTCCAAAAATGGAAAAAGGAAAATACGAACACTATAAGAAGCATTATATATACCAGCAAACATTTAGAAATACATAAACAATAAGAGGGAAAAGATACCAAGTTACGCTGATCCTCGAAGTACTCAGGCTCCTGTTGATGCTCAACCTTGACTCTCTTAACAGCGCGAGTAGCAGGCTTTGCTTGTGAAGAAGAAGAAGAAGAAGAAGCAGCAGCAGCAGCTTTAGGTTCTTCTTTAGGAGCTGTTTTTCTCTTATTAGCTCCCTTGGCCGTCGTCTTAGTTCTCTTGGTCATTGTCTGATAACAAAACGCCACCACAACAGAGAAAAAATGAAGGTGTAGTGTAAATAATCTAGTGGCGGAGATAGAGGGAAACAGAGAGAAGAATCGGATTTGGAGCGGTGGATCCGGATTCGAATTCGAATAATACGGCGATTTGGACGTGAATTGGACGCAGGTGGTCCGAATTTGAAGAAGAGAGAGAGTGATAGGGTTTTTATTTTGAAAAATAAATAAATAAATAAGTAAGAAATAAAAAGATTCTAGAGAGAGGCGCGGGGGACTATAACCGGATTGAAATTTTTCAAAAATTTTGATGGGCTTTCAATTTTATTTTAATTTCCGGAATTATAAGCTGCATCCGAGTCTACATTGTGCTAAGTTGTTATCCAATGTGATTTTGCCACGTCATCATCGTACATCCATGGATGAAATCGCATTGAACTCTCTGGATTTTGTTTCCAATAAAGGAAAGGAAGGGGGAGGTTTTTATCTTTTTTTTTTTTTTTTTTTTTATTGTAGACTTCAAACTATTAAAAGTGAAATTTGGACTAAAGACCAAATCGTTATTTTTTCAGTTTAGTTTGAACAAGTAATTTTTTTTTTTATTATTATATTTATTTATTAGTTAAAATAAAGTTCAAACTAATTTTATATTTTCACTTCAAATCAGAACACCATGCTAAAAACCAACCATTTTTATCCTTTAATGTCTTGGCAACTTTTAATTCAATTTAGTTTGAATTATTCAATTTTGTGCAATCTAGTTTTTTGGTCCATACCAGAATCCAAACAACTTTAATTATATATAGTATTGTATGTATAATATAGCAACGTAATATCTTATAATGTATAAAAAATATTTTTATTTGGATTTTGGATTACATCAACGTAATTTTTTGAAAATATACAAAATATGTTTTTTAAACAAAAGTACAAAAAACATTTGTATACTATTTAAAACTATCCAAATACATATTTAAATAAATTTTATGTTTAATTAAATAACATATTTCTAAAATTATTTCAAACAAACCCTTTTATTGATAGATCAAATTTAATGTTATTAGATGTGATTGTGAACCATTAAATTATTCGTCTTCCTAACAACAAGCAATAGTTGATCTAGTGCCATATATACTTTTAACTATTTTAATTATAAAACTAAAATAATTATATCATTGTTTCTACCCATGTATTGTCACTTTCCGATCCCAAATAAATTAAATTTATTAGACATACCCAACTTCTAAATATCTTCCCCCACAAGTATCAAGCAATATTTGTTCACAATCCAAACTAACATCATGTTGTCAATATAAATGACATGTATAGAAATATCTCATGTCATATGTTAGTAGTTCTATAGAGAAAAATTATGTATATATATATATATATATATGTGTGTGTGACATAAAAACCTCAAAAATACTAATAACTGTTACTTTTGAACAATAAATCAAGATGTTTGTAACCTTGCAAATTGTATTAGAGTTAACTTAACACCTATTGTCATGTTATACATACGTGTTTTATTTAAACTATATCAATTTTTTTTTTGATTTTTTTTATTTAAGTGGAATAATTTGCAACATTTTACATGATAATGCTGCTATGAAAAAAAGTTAGATGTATATATGAAGGTGCTCATCAATTCAAAATTAAACAGGATCTGTTCGAACTAGACTAAAATCCCCCTTCCCCCATCTTTCTTATATTGCATTGCCAATTTGGAAAAATCACAAAACTCTTGGAATATTCACTTTATAATCTCTTGACGTACTTTTTTTATCAACTCATTCATTATAGAAATTTTCTACAAAATATTTAAGATATGTACTAACCAAGTAAATTTATGTTTTTAAATTGATAATATTAATATTATATTTTAATTTTTCTTGTTCGTTACCATTAACTAATAGGTATGTGGATAAGTAACTCATAAAATAAAATAATTAATCTTTATATTCGAGTTATTTGATCGCGTTACTTATTTTTTTTTTTTTTATCAGCATTTTAAAAAAGAATCGTTGAGACGATTTTATTACTTTTTTTTTTTTTTTGTATCATTGTTTAAAAATATTCAATTTCTGTGTAATGTTGTTTACATCAAATAATATTTTTGTTATTTTTCATATAAATTTACAATGGAGATACACAATTTAAGGTACCATCACAAATTAAAGGGTTAACAACATAGGATAAAAATTCTTGAGAATAATAGAGACAACAGATGTAGTAAGAAAGTTGAGATTAAAATGGAGGATCTAAAGTATAGTCACATATAAATATTATCATATTTTTTGAGTTTAAGAATTGAACTTAGAATAAAAATAAACTCAAATAAAAATTAATTGTCCTATTTTAAGAAAAAAAATTGCTCAATGAAGTCAATTATCAGAGAAAAATCAGGACCTTTTAATAATTGTATTTTTAATTTGACAGGATTAAAAAATATTAAGGTAATTTAGATATTGACAAGGAATTTACTAAAAAATATATATATATTATTGATAAATATATATATATATATATATTTACTTAGTTTACAGGAATTATTACGATTAAAATGACAGTAAATCCAGATACAAGAGGAGTTGTAAATTTTTTTTAAAAAAGTTACACCTTCAAAAATAAACAAATACCAATTCATTATTTAACTTCATATGCAACATTATAGATAGTGAAGAAATTTATTTCAAAAAACTGAGTCATGTGGTAAGTCAATTTTTATATTCAATTAAAACTTCATTTTTTAGAGAAGATAAGCTAAAAACACTAAAAAAGATTACACACACATGTTATAATTTTCCTTAATTTTATATTATTTTTCTTAGGTCGGTGATACATAATTCTTGCAATTATAAAATATGTAGAATGTCAACACAATTAATGTGTGACACAACTCACAGAAATTGTTTATCAAAAGTTGATTGTGTCGGTGGACAATTTATGTGACATATCAACAACTATTTCTATAAATAATTAAAAAAAAAAAAAAGTCACAACTGGCTATTGCTTTGTATAATTTAATTAAAAATTCTTAAACAGTACTATGAGACTAATTATTTATTATAAGAAATGAGTATCATTGCTTAATCTAAATCAGAAAGTTGGACTAGACCAGCTTGTTTAGTCTATACCACGTCAAACAAACAAGAATTAAATCTCTTTCGATGTTATTCCAGTTCGATTCAATATTATGGATCAACTTAAAAAATAACATGTATGTATATATATATATATATATCTTTTCCTTGTTCTCTTTCTTCATCATCATTTCCTTCTAATTTCACAGCCCCACGTTCTCACGAGAATCTAACCGAGTGCAGAAAATCAAAGAGAGATCTAAAATCTTATCGAGAGGACAGCCGCTACAGAAAGTTCATTGCAGAAATCTTGTCCAGAAAAGAAGCATTTCAGGGGGGGCAGGAAATGTATTTGCCAACTATGAGAGAGCTTTCTTCAATCAACTAGAGCCTACATTTTTAACTTGTTTGAATCATAAACTTTCTAACGTTTATTTCTATCTAATGAAAGCTGATTCACTTCCATACAGACTATTTTATCTTCTTATCAAGAACCACCGCTAGGTGAGGCACCAGACTGCACAACAATTTATCAAGTTAATGCCCATTTGGGTGGGACACCAAATAGGTTGACTCGCCTTAAACTTCTAGGATATGAAAACTAATCATCATCAATGACTAATTATCAACTGAACTAGCGTGAAATACTCATCAATGCTTAAGAGGATTACCCTCCGAGGAGGAGGGAACATTCTAGTCCTTCTGAAGGACAACCTTAAGAGAATTCACATACAACTCCTAGTCTCACAAACCCTTACCCCTATGAGCCAAACCAAAATAGTGCGCACGAACTAGGGATACACGTCTTAGAAGTACAAGGCAGAAAACAATTTACCACTAACAAGATCTCACAAGCTAACAACAGCTTGAGTTTAAGTTTACACCAAAAGATTTCCTATTCTCATGAACTAGTCAAGCAAAATATTCTGCTTTCGGATTTGCCATTACTAACCTTTCTAAGTGGGGGTTGCACTTCACTTACGAGATCCATTGAGAGGGCCGAGTTTAAACACCCACTTCAACAAGGCCGAAAAGGGAAACAGGAAGGCCCCATAATTTGATCCGGAATTAATTTTAAATTTTAAAAAACATATAAAAATATAATTTTAAAATTAATAAATTTTTATTTAATGTAAAATTAGAAAAAATAAATAAATAAATTGAGAATGAAATTTAAAATAATTTTAAGAAAAATATGTGAAAATTTAGATTCGAAATGTATTTTTAAAAGAAAAATCAGAAACTAGATATCAAAACGCAGTTAAAAAAAATTGCATCACGTATGACCGCTCAATCAGCAGCTCCGACGAATCGGAGTGCGCCACATGGTAAGGCACGCTGACTTAGTACTACACGGGAGGCCACGCGGGCAATCCACGTGTCTATGATCAGACGGCCCAGTTGCGTTCCTACGCACGCAGACGGTCCGGATCCATTCCCTTCTCAGGCACGAACAGACGATCGCAATTAAACGCGATAAATTATGCAGATTCGTTCTCTCTTTAAACGCGATCGTACGATCGAAATCAAATCGCGATGAATGGTTCAAATTCATTTCTTCTTTAAATGCGATCGGACGGTCGAGATCAAACGCGATAAATGACCCAGATTTAAGGGAGACGGGTATAAATATCTTGCATCATACGAAACTCGAACCTTAGCCGCCAGCCTCCCGTCAGAAAAGAAGAACCAGTCACCGAAAAAGAGAGCCGACCGCCGCCGACCGCCACGCCAGAGCCATCCCTGACCGCCAAAAAAAGTAAAAATTCTCCTATCAGCTCGGAATTTAATTCCGAACACCTCCATAGCCAAATCGGAGCAAAAGGAACAGCGGATAAGCCGAAAACCGTAGGCAAAATCCAAAACTACATTCGATGAGCCCTTTCCTGTTTCCCGTTTCGTGTGATTTTTCCACCATTGTGTTCACCGTTCTGTTTTCTACAGATTAACTGAAGAAAAACGCTCAGCCGTGAGGGTGAGCCGGTGAAACCGCCGCATCGAAAAATCTCACCGCTGTTTTTTTAATTTTTTTCAGCCAACCAAGGTCCCCTAACGTGTTTTCTCGCATGGATGAGTATAAAACCGGTCGAAACTAGCCAAAACTGGCCGAAAATAGTCAGGCCGAGGTAAACCGTTGCCGCGAACAGCGGTGTCGTCGCCATAGTACAGCGATGCCACCGTGCCGG